GGCAGAAGAACAGCTGGAGCCTGTTCCCAGTGTGCGCATGTGCAGAGTGGCCAGACAAAGGGAACAGCTAAAGAACAGGGGTTGACTTGGGAGGAAGGCCACAGATGGATGGTGAATGGCCCGTCCCAGAGAAAGTAAAAGAGGAGCAAAAGGGGAGTGGAGTTTGCAGGAAACCATTAGTTCGCTTCATTGGTTCGTGACCCTCTGAGACTCCTGGCCAAGTTTTGCAGAGATCGGCCTGGCAGCTCTCCAAGCCAGATAAGGTCTGTGACTGTAAATCCTCCCTTGAAAGTCTTTGCTGGATGTGAATGAGCAGAATTCACAGTAGATTAATAAAAGGGATTTTTATCAGAGCAGGGGTCTCCAACCTTGGCAACTTTAAGACTTGTAGACTTCAACTCCCAGAATTTCTCCTTTGGACTCTTCTCCTTCCCTGTTTCCAGGTGGCAGCAGTTCCAGTCCTTGGCGAGCCAAAAGAAGGAGGCCTTGACCTCGGCCCTCAGCATCCAGAACTACTTCTTGGAGTGCAACGAAACCAAGGCTTGGATGCGGGAGAAAACCAAGGTGATCGAATCGACCCAAGGTCTGGGCAACGACCTGGCAGGGGTGATGGCTCTGCAGCGCAAGCTGGCTGGCATGGAGCGTGATCTGGAGGCCATCCAGGGCAAAGTCACGGACTTGCACGAGGAGGCAGACCGGTTGTCGGCCCAGCACCCGGAACAAGCCGCCGCCATCTCCAGCCGGCTCGCCGAAATCGACGGGACTTGGGACGAGCTGCGGGGAACCATGCGGCGTCGCGAGGAGTCCCTGGGAGAAGCCAGCAAGCTTCAGGGCTTCCTGCGGGACCTGGACGACTTCCAGGCGTGGCTCTTGCGCACCCAGACCGCCATCGCCTCCGAGGACGTCCCGGCTACCCTGCCAGAGGCAGAGCAGCTGCTGAGCCAACACGAGACCATCCGGAACGAGGTGGAGCATTACAAGGCCGACTACCAGCGCTTGCGGACCATGGGGGAAGAGGTGACGCAAGGCCACACCGACGCCCAGCACATGTTCCTTCAGCAGCGCCTCCAGGCCCTCGACACAGGATGGAACGAACTCGGGCAGATGTGGGAGAACCGGCACCAGCTGCTTTCGCGGGCTTACAGCTTCCAGATCTTCCTGAGGGACACCAAGCAAGTGGAAGGTGTGCTCAGCAACCAGGTAAAGCAGGTTTGGGAAGGGGGAGGGGAAGGAAATGGGGGGGGGGGAACGACAACTCTGTTTGCAGGCAAAGGCTGAACTTTTGTTTAGCTACTTTGCAGGACTGATTGTTTGCCTGTGTTGTGATCTTTTTTTGTGACCTTCCTCTTTCTCTCTTTTCCTTCTTTCCTTCCCTCCCTCTTTTTTGTCCCCCCTTCCTTCTTTTTCTTTCCTTTCCCTCTTTTCCATCTGTTTATTTCTCTTTGCCTTCCTCCTTCCCTTTCTTCCTTCTTCTTTCCTTCCCTCCCTCTCTCCTTTTTTTCTTCCCTCCCTTCTTTCTTTCTTTCCTCCTTCCCTTCCCCTTCCCTTCCTCCCTCTTTCTTTTTCTTCCTTCTTTTCTTCATCCCTCCCTCCCTCTGTTTTCCATCCTTCTATTTATCTTTGCCTTCCTTTCTTCTTCCATCTCTCCCTCCCTTTTTCTTTGCCTTCCTTTTTTCCCTCCCTCCCTCTTTTTCTTTCCCATCCTTCTGTTTGTCTTTCTTCCTGCCTCCCTCCCTTTTTCCCCTTCCCTTCTCCCCTCCCTCCCTCCCTCCCTCCCTCCCTCCCAGGAATATGTGTTGACTCACACCAGCATGCCCAGCTCTCTCCAGGCTGCCGAGGCTGCCATTAAGAAACACGAAGATTTCATGACCACCATGGAAGCCAACGGAGAGAAGATCAAAGGCCTGGTGGACTCTGGGCGGAAACTCATCCTGGAAGACAGCCTGCACTCTGACAAGATCCAGGAGAAGGTTAACTCTATTGACAGTCGGTGAGCAAGAAGACTCTTGGTGAAAAATGTAATTCCAATCAGGGAACACAAGTGTGAGAAGGAGGCTGCTTTGTCTCCCATTGGCTCTCTTCCCAGGGAACGTATAGAGCAGGGGTGTGAAACTGAAAGCCCTCAGGCCAGGTGCATCACACACAGGCCAGGCCCACCCTAGCTCCATGAATGGGAAAAATGTCGCAAAATGTTGCGTGACACTGCAGGTTTGACACCCGTGTTATAGACTAAACTGGAAAGGGAGTGCGATTTCCTAGTACAGTATGGTTAACCTTTTCCAGACTGAGTACCCAAAGTGCATGTGTGTGTGTGTGGATGCGCATGTGCGGCCAACCCCCCCAATGCAATGTGCATGCGCCCCCTGCGCATACGTGAGGCACCTGCATGTATCCTGTTCATCCACAGATGCCCTCCGCACGTGCCGCGTCCCCATGCATGCGTGGCATCCCCTGCCTGCACCAGGGGTGCGTTCCTGCCAGTTCTAGCTTCTTCTATAGAAGAGGTTCCACAAATCTACCGTGCCGTTTAGAACCGGTTCCAGCTCCCTCCCCCTGCCCATCCGCACATCATCAAGATGAAGAGCGAGAGGAGGAATTCTGGGAGTTGAAGTCCACAAGTCTTAAAGCTGTCAAGTTTGAACACCCCTGTTTGTTTGTTTGTTTTCTAAAGGGTTAGGGGTGCGAGGGTCTTGTAACTTGACAGCTTTAAGACTTGCGTGCTTCAAATGCCAGAGTTTCTGAGTCAACATTTTGGTTGCTAAGCAAGAGCGTTGTTAAGTGAGTTTCAACACATTTTACAAGTTGGCCATGCTCACCCAGTCACATGCCCAGGAAGCCACTCCCACAAAGCAGGCCACACCTACAGAAGAGGTTCTAAAAAAAATTGAAACCCACCACTGGCCTGCACCCACCCCTGCACATGCGCGACAGAGACCTGAAGACTAGCTGGCTGATGGGAAGTACGTGCACATGCGCGGCGGAGCTGAAGTGGGGCAGCAGCTTGCATGCTCAAAGAAGGGCACTGCGTGCAACCTCTGTCATAGGTTTGCCATCACAGTCCTAGTACTATAAAAAGAAAGCAGAAGGAGCTACAGTCAAATCTCCCCCTCGGCTGTGAATGGTGAGCCAGTTATTCCGGCTAATCTACCTTGTAGGATAATTGTCAGGATAAAGTTTGAAGGAGAACCACCCACGTTGCCCTAAGCTGCTCAGAGGAAGCGAAGGATAAAAATGTGATCGGCCGACAGGAACGGTTCAAAACATGCGAAAATCCCTGGATCTTGGTTTCCCCATTTTACATGCCACAAGATTTCTTTTGCTTTAGGGCTATTAGAGCTTAACCAGCATCTATGATTGTTTGAAAGGGGCTTGGTCAGATCCAAGCGCTCATAAATTGAGGTGTCAGAGGGGGGTTCTGAAATGTTGAGTACGCTTGGATAGCAAGACATTAGGGAAAAGCCACCTACAGGTAACTCTCAATTTCCGACCATTCCTTTAGTGACTGTTCAAAGTTACAATGGCACTGAAAGAAGTCACTTAAGGCCATCCGTCACACTTAATGACCGTTTCAGCATCCCCACGTGACATACATTGGGATGCTCGACAACTGGCTCACATTTAGGAGTCACATTTAGCGTCCCAGGGCCAGGTGATCCCCTTCGGCAACCATCTGAACAAGCAATGCTAAGGGGGAAGCCGAATTCACTTAACAACCGTGTAACTCATTTAAGAACTGCAGTGATTCACTTAACCAAAGGGGCAAGAAAGGTCGTAAAGCAGGGCAAAGCTCACTTAACAAATTTCTCACTTAGAAACATGAATTATGGGCTCAGTTGTGGCTGCGCGTTGAAGACTACCTGTAATAATTACCTGTGCAGGCCTGAGTTCTCATAGAAAGTACAGCCAAAGCCCATTTGCTTAATTGCATTAGGGCCCAACGAGGGTCTGCTCCTGTTTCTTGGTCGTTTAAGGCGTGGCTGGCTGGGGAATTCTGGGAGTTGAAGTCCACACACCTTAAAGGGGCTGAGGTTGAAAAACATTCCTGTAAAGTTTGAACGCAGCCTTCCCAAATGCGGCATTCCCAGAGGCATTAAGACCGCAACCCCCAGAATTCCCAGAGAGCGAGGTTCAGGATGTAAAGTGCATGGAATCAATCTCTTCAAATATTAATCCAGCATTCTCCATTCTCTTGCAAGCCAGGCTCCTCTGGGGAACAGCATATGATTAACTCCCGTGTCTTCCTTTCTGCTTCTCCTCCTCCTCCTCCATCCTAATTGCTTTCAGACACAGAAAAAACCAGGAGGCAGCTCAAGATCTCCTGGCTCGGCTCCGGGACAATCGAGTCCTTCAACATTTCCTCCAAGATTGTCAAGAGGTAAGGTTTTATTAACCTGTTACCTGCCTTGGGTAACGAAATGTCTGCAAGGAAACAACCAAGTTCAGAGAGTTCAAAGCCCCCCCCTAATCTTCCTTCTCTGCATATCCTAACTGTGGGGGCAGTTGGGGGGGGGATAAAGGAACGGTACCTGGAAAATACATTGTACCTCCCAGAGAAATGGAAATTTATATATAATAAGGAAAGGAGACAGTTGAAAGGAAAGGGAAGTGGAGAGATGAAGGAAGAGAGGGAAGTGGAGGAGAGCAGATTGGGTCGGAGGAGAGGAGGAGAGAAAAGTTGAAGGAAGAGGATAAGGAAGAAGAGGGAAGGAGAGAGGGGAAAGGAGAGAAGGAAATGGACGAGGACAGAGGAGTAGGAGGGAGGGAAGGAGAGGGAAATGGAGAAGAGGAGAGAGGAGAAGAGGAAAAGGGAGGAGAGAGGGGAAAGGAGAGAGATAAATATAAATAATGTTATGGTACAATTATGAAAATAATGCCTATAACTATGACATGTATTTAACGTCATTATGTATTTAAAGAGACTATAAATGTATGATTAAGAGAATATTGGTTATAATCAGGGTATATAAAACTATGTAAACTCAAAAAGGACTAGATGTAGCCACTACGCCTGCTGCTGCAAAACTGGATATGTGCTGCATTATAAAGAAAAATCTACAATAAAAATATTTACATAAAAAAGGAAAACAACCAAGCTCAGAGATCTCCAAGAAACATTCATTTCAACCCTGAGCTACAAATATTCTCCTTTAAGGGGGAGGGTATCTCCAGTCCTAAATTTTGAAACCTGGCTTTCCTGGGGTTAAGGCTCATGCTTGAAGCCATTGTTCTGTCTCTCCTCCAGCTCACCCTGTGGATCAACGAAAAGATGCTCTCAGCCCAGGATATGTCCTACGACGAAGCCCGAAACCTCCACACCAAGTGGCAGAAGCACCAGGCCTTCATGGCGGAGTTGGCCTCCAACAAGGGCTGGCTTGAGAAGATCCAAAAGGTGGGTTTAAACCTGGACGGCATCCATTGCTGTTTTTCTTGGCTTGCCTTTCTTTCTTCTTTCGCTCACCCTCCTAGCGTTCTTGGAAGACCTTTCTGAAACCACCTCTCCTCCCATCTCTCCCTTTTGGCAGGATGGGGAGCAGCTGGTGTCCGAGAAGCCCGAACTGGAGCCCGTGGTGAGAGCCAAGCTGGATGAACTCCAGAAACTCTGGCAAGAATTGGAATCCAGCACCCAGAGCAAGGCTCAGTGCCTCTTCGATGCCAACCGGGCCGAGCTCTTCACCCAGAGCTGCTCGGCCCTGGAGGCTTGGCTCAGCGGCCTGCAGGCTCAGCTGCACTCCGACGACTATGGCAAGGACCTGACCAGCGTCAACATCTTGCTCAAGAAACAGCAGGTAAATGAGTGATACTTTGCATCATGGCAAGGAGGATAATGATGCCAACATTTTGTGTCAAAAGAAGTCAGCTCCCCAAACCCATCCGAATAATAGAATAACAGAGTTGGAAGGAGGTCTTCTAGTCCAACCCCCTGCTCAAGTAGGAGACTCTAGACCATTCCAGAGAAGAAACTCCAGTTTCTTCTTTAAAACCTCCAGTGTTGGAGCACCTATAACTTCTGGAGGTAAACCATTCTACTGATTAATTCACTGTCGCGAAATTTCTCCTTAGTTCCAGGTTGCTCCTCTCCTTGATTAGTTTTTATCCGTTGCTTCTTCGGCTGCCTTCAGGTGCTTTGGAGAATCTCCTTCTGGAGATTCTGGAGAATGTCCTTCTGGAGATACACTCTGGAAAAACCCTCTGCCCAAAACCTTGAAGTATTACCAATACTTGCTTTCTTGGCAATAATGGTTTGCTGACCTGGAACGTAGGAAAATGTTCCACGTTGTACCAATCACATCTCTGCAACAAAACATGACTATTGCCCTGACCATAGGCATGAACTTTGTGCATAACAAACGCTGTGAATTATAAGCCAGAGAGATTATTACACACTGCCGTAGATCACGGGTTGTGTAATCACTGTTTGTTTTGGCTAAGGAAAGAATCTCTAAAACCACACCAATCCACACAGGCAAGCAAGTTCACAAGAATACAAACTTGACAGCAAACTGCACTCCTTTTACTAGCACTGATGATGTTACCTAGTTTGGGCCATGAAACATCTGCAAGGATTCAAGCAAGCTCAGAGAGCACCAAGGATCCCTCGTGTCAACCCTGAGCTTCAAATATTATCCTTTATTAGCAATGCAGCCTTCAGCGAGATCCCCCTCCCCCCCCTTGAAAGGTGATAACCAGCAGCTTAAAACTTACCCGGAAGCAGACTGGCAGCTTCAAAGATTTCAGTAACGGGTTCTCTGCTGGGTGGGCGTGGCTATGGTGGCCTAGTCAGCCTCCTGCACTAGGGCAGGGGACCCATTTTCACTTTCCCCAGGCTCCGGAGGGAGAAAACTGCCTCTCCTGGGTTCCGGAGACCTTCGGGAACTACCAGGAAGCCCGTTTTCTCTCTCTCTCTCTCTCTCTCTCTCTCTCTCTCTCTCTCTCTCTCTCTCTCTCTCTC